ATCTATAAATTCCTCTTCAGACTCATGCAACACATGCAATGACACCGAATGCAGGAAGATCACAGGCTTGTGGAAAGGCTTGTGGATTCAGTGGTGGTAGAAGCATCTCAGTGCTGGCATGGGTCGTCGGGTGGCTCTTCCAGCTCCAGGGCTCTGGTTCCATCAGCATAGCTCCATGTGACTTGTCAACAGCAAAGTCTTTAGGGAAAGTTCATATGAGCTATTTATCTCCTCAGTGCCTCCAAATGAGGTCATCAAGCTGCGACGTGATTGACAGGCTAACCTCTGCCCCTTCACTCATAATAGTCTCAAGTTGACAATAGATTATGGAACTACCACAACTGTATGTTCCAGCAACATCTGCTGACTAGACTTTCCATTTCTCATTGGATTGCTTAAGCATTGTCCTAAAACAAATCATGAGACCATAAATTGTCATCTATCTTGTGGCTCTGTACTTGCATTTTCTGTTCCTTTGATATAGTCATGCATCTGAATACCACTATCATTCTGTCCTAATTACTGTGTTTTTGGAGATCTTAAAGCTATATAATGCTAGGTAATAACTTTTTTCTTTGTTTATTATCTAACATTGCTTTGGATATTCAGCTTTTTCATGCGTTTTGCATTGGCATTCCAATTTCTACCTCTCCCCCCAATTTTTTCTTGTGAGAACACAATAGGGATTGAAATGAATCTATAAAACAAGCTGGAGAAGAGTTGTCATCTTAGCAATATCAGCTCTCATAATCTATTCTTCCTTTATTTAGTTCTTTAATTTTTCTTTTTTAAAAATTAAAATTTTTTTATTTTAGTTCCTTAATTTTTCTCAGGAATGTTTTTCAATATAGGGATTTTATGTAGCTTGTTTAAGTTATTCCTAATTTTCTGTTTATCTTTTGGGCTGTCATTGTAAGTGAAATTGCCTTAAAGATTTTATTTCCCAAGGGTTGCCACTGTATTAAATACAATTGATTTTGTATATTGGCCTTGGATCCTGCAACCTGAGAAAATTATTCATTACTTCTAGTAATTACGTTATAGACTTCTTGGGATTTTCTATATAAATAAACATGTAATTTGCAAATAGAAACATTTATACTTATTATATTTTAACTTTATGGCTTTTATTCATTCATTCTGTTTTTGTATGTCATATTGCACTGGCTAGAACTAGTCACTGGCTGGAACTAGAAATGCCGAATAGACAGGATGACAGTGAAAACTCCTTTTCATGTTCCTGATTTTTAGGGGAAAATTGAGTTGCCCTATAAGGTTTCTAAGGGTGCAAATCTTTCTAGAACCCATCTGCTACATTTTTCTTCCATGGAATAGCTAGCAAATTTGAACTACAACTTTGCTGTTAGAAGCTGCGTCCTTCACCACCACGCCATGCATGCATCCTTTTCTACACAATAGAGCACGGCACGATGACGCTCCCAAGTCGGCTGAGTCTCTTATAAGAATGCAGCACCGACCCCATATTTCAGCCCAATGAAGACTCTGGAATGGAGAACCCATGGCAGCTGTGAAATAATCAACGTGCACTAGACAAGAATGTGTATTCTTGGATTCATTCTGTAGTGGAAAATACAAAAGAGCTTTATAAATATTTTTTAATTCAAGGCGATTGATGATTTTCTGACCATTTAGGGCTGTAATAGCACATGCCTTTTTTGTTTTTTAATTGTGGTCTTCCTGAGAAAATGTCCCTTTTGTAATTTTCAAAGTGTTTTATTTCTGATAGCCAGCTTTGCCTTGAAGTCTACTTCATCTGATATTAATATGACCATCTTATATTTCTAAGGTTTACTGCTTTTATCGTATATCATTTCCCCATCATTTACTCTCATCCTATTATTTCTTTATGTTTAAGGTGCATCTCTTTAGATACATTTCATTTCATCTGTTTTGTTGTCTCTAAATGTGTTCTGAAAATCTTGACATTTCAAGTTAAAACAGATATGTGATGAGCTCATAAGCTAAAAGTCAATTCCTTTTCTTTAAAAAGGTTTTGTGATAACCCTGAACTTTTCTGTTTTCGATAAGTGTTGTCCAAGTTGGATTGTCTTATGTGTGTTTGAGGTTTCTGTTTTCTGATCTTGAATTCACTTGTACCAATCTTTATTCTAACTCCAAAGAACATTGAATCCTTGCCAGCAGACTTCAAGGAAAGTCTCTGCTTCTGTATTAGTCTGGGTACTTTGGAGAAACAAATCCAC